GGCCCGGCGAGACGCGAACGTGTGGCTTCTGAAAGTCTCCAAAAGCATCTTTACAATAATCTCCCAAATTACAAAATTCCTAACCATGTATTTGCACGTCGAGAGTGGAGGTGACTCATGCTAATTGCCCTCCTGGTCCAAGAAGGGCTTGTTTTCATTTCTAAAAACCACAGTTTCTTTTAAAAAAAAAAAAAAGAGGAAAATACCAAAATACACACACACAGCTCAGTGGGATACATCCTGTCCTGCTGCACCAATGCGAATCCAAACCACCCCAATGCTCCTGCTTCATTATGGATGTTCAAGGAGAACGGGATTCATGTGCTGCAACACGGGCACGGTCAGAGCCACGTGCAGACCCACGGCGGAGGGGACCGGCCAGCGCCAGCGCCAGCTCCGAGGCTCCCGACGGCCGGGGGTGCTCCCCCAGCTAAAACGGCGGGTGGGTTCGTGAACGGAGCTTGCCGCCATCGGAAGAAGAGCGAGTATTCGCTCAGATTACAAATCCTCTCACCTTCCTTGGCCAAGCTCACCTCTTTCTTGGAGGGCGGCAGAAATTTTGAAGCTAAAAATAGTCTTTTCAGGAACGGCCTGGTCAGGGTTCCCGGTTGGAATTTCGCAGTCCTGCCGGTCCCTGATTTATGCCTGCGAAACGTTTTTGTGAAGGGGGAGGGAGAACCTAACACTGCGGCTGTAAACCCTGGAAATTAAGGACCAGACTAAATGACTTTATCATTGAGAGGAAAAAGGAAAGGAGAGTAGATAGGGCTCTTTGTAAATCAAGGCCAGGGAGATTAACAGAGCATGTGAACGCTTCGTTATGGCTAACGAGTTCAAGACTCTACACCCTAAACAGAGTAGAGCGCTAAAAGAGAAATGTCAAATTCTCTCTCTCCCCTCAAGGGAAATTGCTTTTAAAAAACAAAGCAAGGCATATTTGGGGGAAATATGCCTGGTATTATACATTAAAAAGGCAGCCTGTCAGCCACCTAAAAGAGACTCTCTTCTCTTCTCTCTTCTCTTGTAGAACAGGTCACCTACACACAATGTACGCTGGCATGTAAAGAAACCCCCTGCACAAAACCAGACCAATAGCAGAGTGAAAAATCCGGGTCGGACTTTTTGCAGAAATGCACTATGAGAGTGGCAGAGAGCGCTCCAGGGAGCGACACCTTCCCCGCGCAGGATTGCTTTTGCTCCTTACTGCAACGCTTCTGCCTACTTCCGACGGAGAGCGGCGCGCCTGGGAACGCTACGGAAGGCGGGCTCCTCATTAAGCCTCCGTATTTTCGTGGTGCAAACAAATAACGCTAGCAACATTATACATTTTGTCAAGTTACTGCACTAGAATCCTTAAACTGTTAAAAATAGGAAAGAAACTGCACAGTTCACATATTTTATAAAGCTGGGTTAAATCAACATCTGCAAAAAATATCCCTGTTAAACGAAATAGCAGGATTTCATTAAGTAAATTGCAAGTTGGCAAAAATTCTGAAAGAAAGGGAAAAAGCCACAGCCAGCCCTGTAATTTAAACCTTATTTTAACTGTGACAGCAGGCTGCATTTCCAAACGAAAAAATAAAATAAAGGCTAAAAAAATGCCCCGTTCCCCCCCGCCACCCCTTTCCCCACCTCGGTGGACCACAATGTCTGCGGTAATTGTAACGTTACCTAGAGTTTCCCCGGCACGATAAAGAGCGAGGAGGACCCTCGCCGGGCCCCAGCGGGACGATTCGCCCGATGCCCCC